TGAGGGGACACTGGCCCTGAGGGGGAACGGGCACTGTGGGGACACAGGCACGGAGGGGACACGGGCACTGAGAGGGAATGGGCACTGAGGGGACACGGGTTACCCTGAGGGGTCACAGGCACTGAGAGGACACGGGTCACCCTGAGGGGACACGGACATTGAGGGGACACGGGCACTGAGGGGACATGGGCATTGAGGGGACACAGGTGACCCTGAGGGGACACGGCTGAGGGGACAGGCTGTTCTCACACCGCAGGGAGGACAGCAGCTGCCCTGGGGGAACAGGCTGCCCTTGCACTGGAGAGGGGACATGAGGCCTGTCTTCGCACCAGAGAGGGAACAGGAGCCCTGAGGGAACGGGATGTCCTCAGGCTGGAGAGGGGACACGGGCCCTGAGGGGTGGCAGTGCTCCCGCAGTGAGCTGGGACTGCTTCTCGGCCTCTTGTGCTGGAGGGAAGTGCCCCCTTCCCAAGGTGGTTTCCCCAGAGCCCATCAGTGCCCCTGCAAACTGTCCTGTCATGGCAAGTCAGTCTCCCCCAAAGGAGAGGGAGTTTTCAGCCAGGTTTTTCAGGAAAGGGTCATAAAATCACCATCAATTCCATAATGTTCCCCAGGCTCTGCTTGGAGCCTGCTCAGCCTCTTGTGAACATGCAGGAGGAACTCTGGAACAGACACCCCAGAGCAGCTGTGGCTGCCCCTGGATCCCTGGCACTGTCCAAGGCCAGGCTGGACCATGCTTGGAGCAGCCTGGGACAGTGGAAGGTGTCCCTGCCCATGGGATGAGCTTTGAGATCCCTTAGAGCCCAAAGCATTCCATGATTCTGGGATTGTCTAGCAGCGCGAGCGTGATGTGATGTTTGCCCACAGGATCTGGCAGTCTCATCCCAGCTCATCTCAAGCTGATGGTGACTCGTCTCCAAGGAGGGAGTGCTGGCAGGACACTGCCCAGATCTTGGGAAGCTGTGTACTATCAGCAGCCCCTCTTGTTGCTCCTTGCTCCTGTCCTCACCAGCTCTCCCAGCCCAAGCCTGCTCTGCACACCGGCACTCGTCTGCTTTATGCTCCACCTTGTGCATTTGTTGAACATCCATTTTCCAGGCTGCTCCCAAGCACACACTTCTCCCTCATCTGGATCTGAGTTGTAAACGGCTGGCACAGGCTGCCCAGGGCAGTGGTGAAGTCGCCATCCCTAGAAGCATTAAAATAATACGTGGATGTGGCTCTTGAGGACATTTTTAGTAGTGAACATGGCAGTGCTGCCAGGTTAATGGTTGGGCTGGGTAATCTTCAGTCTTTCCCAATTTTAATGATTCTGTGATTTCATGGTGGAGTGTAAGGAAGGGCTGTCATTCCATGCACCCAGAGCAGCTTGGGAAGGGCAGAGCTGCCTCACTGCTGAGAGAAGGCACCCAAAGCTCAGGGAGATTTAACCAGCCCCTGCCAGAGCCACTTCTCAGTTAGGCTGGTCCGTTTGTCCTGCTCTGTGCGGACAAGCCTCGAGCCAGAGCAGCGCAGTGAGAGCACAGGCAGCAAGCCTGGCGAAGGAAGGCTGCTTCCAGGCAGATGCCTTGGCTCTGGAAGTGTCCAAGGCCAGGCTGGATGGAGCTTGTGGCAGGGCGTGGAATGAGATGGGCTTTATGGTCCTTTCCAACCCAAATCAGTCTGCAGTTCTGTGAAAATCCTGGGGGACCTTGGAGCCCAAAGGGCAGGAGAATGGGGCCGGGGGGGGAGTCGGGCTCTGTTCCCAGGGAGCAAAGGACAGGACAAGAGGAAACGGCCCCAGGTTGTGCCAGGGAAGGTTTAGGTTGGATATTGGCAGTAATTTCTTCCCAAAGAGCGTTGTCAGGTACTGGCACAGGCTGCCCGGGGCAGAAGGGTGAAGGCACCATCCCTGGAAGTGTTTGAACAATGGATGTGGTGCCGGGGACATGGATTGGTGCTGAACTGACTGTTGGACTCGATGACCTTGAAGGTCTTTTTCAGCCTTAATGACTCTGATTTGATTAATTTCTCCCATCACCAGTCTGTGCTGGGCTCCTGGATGGACTGGGTGCATTTAATTGGATTTAAGTGGATTTTTTGTGGGTGCTCCCCAGGGGCAGAGGCAAGGAAACAACAGTGATGCAGTGGGCAGGATCTACACCCAGAGCAAGTGTCTGAAAACCTGTCTGGTGTTTTCTTTTGGTGTTTTTTTTTTTTTTTTTTTTTTTTAGTACAAGGCAAAGCCTTTATTCCAACTTTTCATTCCTAGGGATACAACATCTGAAGGACACACATGGCGATAAAAAAAGTAATATTGTTATAAAATGTCACATTTATTGCTACATTACTGTTATATACAGGACAGTTCTCAAAATCTACTTTAAAAAAGTTAGGATTATTTAAAAATTCCAAATAATCCAGCCAGCTGTTTTGACACTTGTATAAAATTATTTAAAAAAATGAAAACAATTCATATCTTGAGGCACTCAGAAACACAATTTCATCCCCCAATTGTGATTCATTTCAAAGAGCAACGCATTTCCCACCCCCAAATACTTTATTTTTTTTTTTTTTTGCTGGGTTAGGCATATATATATATATATTTACTATATATATAGTTCAAAACTATAATGTGTATCTGATTTAAGAACAAGGATTTCAGCCACTTAAGTACATCTGGATTTACAGGTAGGCAGCATAAACATCAAAAGCAAGGACCATTTTTTATTTTAAAGGCCAAAAACCAAAAACAACCCATAACTTTCTACAGGGTTAAAAATAAACAACTTCTGCAGGCATCTCCCATCTGCTCTCCCACCCCCCATTCCTACAAAAATATAAAGAACATCCCAGGAATGCTTTGTTTCCCCAGAGAGCTGGAGCACCCAACAGGTCATTCCCAGCTGGGATCGGCCCTGTCCTGCCTCAGCAGGTGCCTCTCCCCTCTCCTGGCACAGGGACCGAGGCTGCTGCCTCCTTCCACGGCTCCTTCCCTCCCTGCTGGCTCCGTGCTACCAGGTTTGCCCAGCAGCTGCTGGCTTCGAGTGATTTGGGAAGACATGGTGCTGCAAGGGGCACCCGCGGTGTCCCCAGCTCGCTGCCTCCAGGAGCTGCACG